TTTTTAATTGCTATTTTCAAAATCCCATAAAATCAGTGGAATTGTATACAAGCTGACCCACATATCACAGTTAAAAAAGACATCTTCATATTACTAGAAGGATACTCGCACAATACAGCAAGATATATTTTCATTTTAATGTTTCGTTTTATTTTTTTTGTCTCTGTTGATATAATACGATTTATGTGGTTTTGCGAAATATAATATTTTTATGATTTAGTGAATAAATTTCTTTTTGGTTTAACAATAAAATTTTATAAAGATAATGATAATGTTATAACTCAATGATTATTCTAATTATATTTTAGATTTTTTATATTTAAAATGAGATATTTATCCTGCATTTGATTATGTTTATCTAAAGTTAGTTATACGAATTAAAAATGAAACTTTAATAAGTTATGTATCAACTTGAACAGAGCAAGTTTGGTCCGTGAAATATCTCATCAATAGGGTGGTGAAAAATATAAATTGAGAGAGGGCCCATTGCAATCAAGTTAACCTGTTAAAGATTAATGGACTTCAAGAAAAATTTGGTCCACTCATAGCTAAGGGTATTCAAAAACCCGACCAACCCGATCCACCCAACCTCACACGAAATAACTCAATCTGAAGTAACCAGATTTCTAATCGAGTTGTAAAATTGTCAAACCGTAGGTATTTGGTTGATATTGGATTACTATTATTTGAACTCAACCCAACCCGATGAACCAGATATCCTTTTATTTCTTGGATTTAATATGATTGATGAATTTCTATTAATATATACATTAGACAATTACACTATCATGTATGCTTTTCATATACACATATTTTCAATCTATTCATATTTCTATATAACTCATTCAGTAACTGTGAACATATATATGTAAATTGAGAAAATTAACTGAATGTGATATACGTAAGAAATATGAATAAGTTGTATCAAATAGTTGATGATGAAAAAAAAATTATGAGTAGAGAAATAACATATTCAAGGTTAGAAGAATATTTTAATATACCAAAGTATCAACCTGACCAACCCGACTAACCCGACCAACCCATACGGGTTGGGTTGGGTTGGGTTAAGATTTTTCCAAACCGCAAGCATTGGGTTGAGTTGTTCAAATGTCCTCAACCCGATTAATTAAGTGGTACTGTAGTATTGCTGAATCATTCAGACGAATAAAAACATACAAAACCTTTCGTGAAACTTTTATATGCAACCATTTAAATCAAGAATCAACAAAAAGTCACAGTCGACTTAAATTGCTTCTCATACTAATAAAATAAAAAGAGTTAGAAAGGAGAAATCGTTAAAAAGAACAAAGATAGGATAATTCTTTCATAAGAGGTCATACACCAAATGCTTACTGGATGTCACTTATCTTATCAGGTGAGAAAGATAAGAACCGAGAATCTTATTCAGTAAAAGATGTAGCAAGGATAAAAAATATTACCTGGGAAGTATGGAAAATACTCTTATCCTGTAAGCTCTTAAATCGGTAACGCTTCACAACAATCTATATTGATAGCCGAGAATGTTACCTGATTAAATAAATGAGAGCGATTATTATTTCTAGTAAGCACCTACCTCAATCAACATATGGTAAGCGGTCTCTAAATATTTAAAGGCAATAAATAAATTAAAAGTAATAAAAAAATAAATAAAAAAATTTGAAATAGAAAAATATTATAATTTTATTTTTGAAGGAAAAAATTATGTATATTTGAATTTATTAGAAGAGGGAAAAAGGACGAGAGACAGCGAGAGATGATTGGATGGAGATGTTTTTACCCTTCCTCACTTTACTTGTAGGACCACCATCCACTTTTTTTTCAAATTAAAACTTATATTTAATATTTAATATTTCAAGAATAAATAACGAAAATGGATTTTATATGATTCAAAAATAAAAATGTTCTTAGTAAAATAATATATTTAATTGCGTAAGAAAATAGCATCTGATTGGTTTCATTCATAGCTTTTAAATGCTTTCATAAGCTTGTTTTTTATGGTTAAAGATTTAAGGATTGTTTGGTTGGTTTTACGGTAAGTTATCTTTAAATATTATTATCACTAATTTGGTAGTGTTTTCTTATAAAGGAAAAAATATATATTTTAATTGGGAATGACATGTTTGGAAAGAATCTGTCTTTCTGTGTAAAGTTTACTACAAAATGTTACTGAATAAACCATTTTTTATATTATTAAACCACTACCAAACAGTAATATATAGTTGACTGAATAAGTTGTGAATCTAATTAAACTCATTAGGTTGCTAATAGACATAACATTACTTTCTATCTTAAAACAAATGTCTACACGATAAAAAATAAATGTAGTTTTAAGAAATATGTAGTCATTGTAGTTTTTTAATTAATTAAATGCTAATTTGATTCTTAACAATAAGAGAAAATTGTTCTCCACCTGTTTGTTAAGGATCAAATTAGAAAGTAAACGATTATTTTTGAAATTAAACATTTATTTTAGAACAAACTATTATAAAAATATAAACATTTACTTTAAAACGAAAAAAGTATTTTAATTATTAATTTGTAACTTTTATCAATGCTTTTTATTTATCGTCATTGATTTCTAGGTTATATGTGTGTTTTTTCATAAAGTGAAGCAAAATGTGTTGAGGGTTTCGTCATCAAGATATGAAACTATGATTTATGTTAGGCCCGAAATATGAATCATTTATCAAGGTAAGGATTTACCAAGTAACATTACTTTATTGGATGAATATAGCAAAAATCAAAAATATTATCCGGTAAAAGTGATGACAAGCACCAAGTCTTATCCAGTAAGTGATGATGACTTTTACCACAGTTAGCATTTACCGGGTAAATCGTTGCATATGATATCGTTTTAGTGGACTAAAATCTTACCTAATAAGTAGACGATAGTGTTGAATTTTATGGATAAACGCTTATCAGACAAGTGTTTGGTAAAGGGGACTTAATTTACAGCTTTCAATGATGTTTGAAATTATCAACTACTTTTTCATTTTTCAACTCGCATTTTTATTATTATTATTATTATTGTTGTTGTTGTTGTTGTTTTATTATTGTTATTTTTGCATTGCAATTGCATCATTGTTGTCGACTCATCATTTGCTCTCGAGGGTCTAGTTGATTTTTGGATCATTTCGGGTGTCAAGGATGCAAGTTTCAATAGAAAAAACAAGATGTGAATTAATGTGTGGGTAAGATCCCAAATCAGTACATTTTATCTGAGGTACGTGTAAATTGACTGGTACAGTTATGGTTAAAAAAAAAAAAACATGACAGCTAATGGTAAAAGAATGAGTTCCAATGATATATGGTAGAAGTAGAACCAAATGTTGTGGGATGTGTGCATGAGTCAAAACAGTGGTTTATGCAAAGCGTATAGAAACATTTTTATGGTAGAAGTAGAACCAATTGTTAGGGGTTGTTTACTAAAAAATTACTCCATAAGTGCTAACTAGAAAAATTCAACATCATTATTTACTTACCAGATAAGATTTTAGTCCACCAAAACGGTGCCGTATGCATAATTTACACGATAAGCTGTTACCGTGGTAAGAGTTGTCGACATCACTTACCGGTTAAGACTCTTGTTCTTTGTCTCAATCTTACCGAGTAAGATTTTTTGTTCTTGTCATATTCGTCCAGTAAGGTAACGTGACTTGATAAGCATTTACCCAGATAAGCGTTTGGTAAACAGCCACTTGGTTTAATTAAAAGTTTTAATGTAATTAAAGTATTTTAGATTAAAAATGTGGTGTTGTAAATTATTAAATTATAAAAACTATAATATTTATTGAGCATCAAGAAGAGAGGATAAGAGATTCACAGATTTGATTAGTTTCCCAAATAGAATTATTAGGTCAAATATCTTACTCCCTTTTTAAATTAGAATTTGTCGGAATTTTCTTATTTATTATAAGATATTCACCTTTTTTATGGTCATTAATTAAATTAGTTAGGATTAGTCTTCACTTAGCACAATTAGGGTTTTTATTTGTTTTCACCTCTATATATGAATAAAAAATCTCCAGTTTTCATATTTCATATCCACCAATCATGTGCTTACAAACTTAACAATTTAATTTTTGATAGTAAGGAACTAAGACCATTCAAGTTAACCTCCTTTTTTATTTATTTTTATCCCACAAATAGAATAAGATCGTTTCAGGGGGAGCAACCCGTCCTTACAGCCTTTGATCATTAGATTATTTAAAACTTCAGAAGATGGTCAAGGTAGCGGATCTTACCCCCTTGTCCAGGCTGATACCATCCTATCTTTTAATAAAAAATAATGATAAAAATAAATAAATATATATTAATTAAAATTGCAAATGCACGTTTAAATGATTAATGAGATTTTTATTCAGAGTATAGTAAACAGACGCAAGTGCAATAATTCATTTAGTTCGTGACTTCATTTATATTGATCATCTTTTCATAAGAGTCCTATATTTGGTCCCCAAATGACCTCCAATATTAATATTTTAAGAGTAAACTACAAATTTGGTCATTATCGTTTGTGGAAAGTTACACTTTTCTCCCCTATAGTTTAAAAATTACAAAATGACCGTAAATACACCAATAAAGTACACTAGTACTGTTACCATCATGATGTCTACTGTCTAGTCAGTCATTCGTATTCATATATATCATAATTTTGTTACGTTATCTCAGTCTCAATACGTACTAGACCCCCCATCTTCTTTGCTTTGTTTCGCTTGCCTCACTAGATACGATGTAATACTCTTTACGTCATCTCCTTATATGTATGAATAATTGTATATCTATCACTTTCTATTTCTAATACCCCTTTCACACAGACGCATCTCTTTTCTTAATCCCATTTTAGAAAGCAAAACCAATTTACACAAGGCCCCTACTCTCCTTACTTTTCAGACATAGCACTGCCCTCTCTCTCTCTCTCTCTCTCTCTCTCTCTMTATATATATATATATATATATATACCCCATCCTTCCTATATCCAACATTATATCAATCTCAATATGACCACAGTATTTTCTAACTACCTTCTTTTCACTCTTTTCCTAACTGCATTTCTCACACTTGCCCCTGTGGCCAACGCCAAACCGGCTATGTTCTTGCAGGATTTTCGGATAACATGGTCTGATTCCCACATCAAGCAACTTGATGGTGGAAGGGCCATCCAGCTTCTACTTGACCAATACTCCGGTATGTCAGTTGCTACATGAAACCCGTGATACCAAACTTAACATATTTTTAATGACATTATTATTATGTGATTTAGGTTGTGGGTTTGCTTCAAAAACCAAATACTTGTTTGGACGTGTGAGCATGAAGATTAAGCTCATTCCTGGAGACTCTGCTGGCACTGTCACTGCCTTTTACGTGAGATCCTTAATACTTGTATCAAAAAACTTGCTACATGACCCCCCCCCCTCCCCTTTTCTCTATTCTGAAAAAAGGAAGATGGTTTTCATGACAGATGAACTCAGATACTGATCAAATTCGTGATGAACTTGATTTCGAGTTCTTGGGGAACCGAACTGGGCAGCCATACTCGGTTCAAACCAATGTTTATGCTCATGGGAAGGGTGATAGAGAACAAAGGATCAACCTTTGGTTCGACCCTGCCGCTGACTTCCATACTTATTCCATTCTATGGAACCATCAACATGTGGTGTAAGTTGCATAATAATCAAATAATCTGATCAAGCTGTACGTTATAACTAAATTATGTATTCCTATTGTGTGTATGGATAGGTTTTATGTGGATGAAGTGCCTATCAGAGTATACAAGAATAATGAAGCCAAAGGAATCCCATTCCCAAAAACGCAGCCAATGGGAGTGTACTCAACATTATGGGAAGCAGACGATTGGGCAACAAGGGGTGGGCTTGAAAAAATAGATTGGAACAAAGCACCCTTTTATGCATATTATAAGGACTTTGACATTGAAGGCTGCACTATCCCAGGTCCCACTACTTGCACCTCTAACCCATCCAATTGGTGGGAAGGTGCTACCTATCAACACCTGGACCCTGTTGCCGCCCGCCGTTACCGGTGGGTCCGCTTGAACCATATGGTTTATGATTATTGCACAGACAAACACCGGTTCCCCATCACCCCACCGGAATGTATGGCCGGAATCTAGATCCCATTTTCAGGATAGAAATTGAATTGTTGGTGAGGAAGGGGGTGTAAGGAAAGTGGGTTGTTCATGTTTTTTTCTTAACTGCAATGACAGTAATTGCGGCACTGTGAAGGAGACAAATCATGTCTGGGCTATAATTGTGAAAGGAAATAAGATATGCGTACTATATACCTCTTTTTATGTGAATAAATTTTTTTACTTTTCCCCATTCCTCTTAGCTTTATGCATGCTTTAGTTCCTTGAACTAAAAAATCTTGAAAAGTTCCAAGCTAAATACAATTTCCACAACAATAAATACTGAATAGTTGATGTGGACCCATTTAATGTGAATCCTACTTGTCGTATGAAGAAACGTTTCATTAACATTATATATTGTCTAGATACCTCAAGTATTACTGTCTTACAACCACTAAAGAACGACTCTCGTTTCTTGTTTCTACAGTCATAATGCCCCTACACTGTTTCTACATTGGTGCAAATCATAAAGTAGCATGTTTTTTGGAAAATAATTAAATCAGAACAAGGCTTAGATTGAGCCAATAGGTTGCTTACCTTGAGATCATGGATAAGAAACTTAGCGGAAAATGATCTACATTCGTGGGCCAATTTTGACTGCCACTGGCTCTGAGCAATATGGACAACTCCCAAAGAGAACATCGAATGACCTGCATTATAAACATGCACAAGACTTGGTCATGAAGCTGTTTCATGTTACTGAGTGGGGCGCCAAATGGGAACGGATAAACTTAGATGCTATATGCAATTTGCGGTTACATACTGCCTTGTTGTCGTGATGGAACGTAACCAATCCCTAAGGCAAACACTGTGAAAAGCCTTGCTGCAGGTGCTATTTTCACACGTATAATCAGTTTTGCCTCCACTCTCAGCTCCAAGTTCGTCATCTATATAACCAACACCAAGTTGGTTGACAAAAGTTCATGCAAGCATTGAGAGTTGTAGATAACTGCATTTACCTATTGGGAGGAATTTTGAATAACATATTCCACATTCAATTTGCTGGTCATTTTTCTCAACGCCTGGAGGTCCTGGAAGGTGAACCTCTAACAAATTTGCTAGATTCTCGGTAAATAGTTTGTCTTTCATCCTAAAATAACATACATAATAGATATATAAGAATCAGATTTTAGAAGTTGTCCAAAGATAAAGGAGTTTAAAAAATAAAAATATTTAAAAACCACACGATATGATTAATCAAAATTCAAACAGCTTTGAAATCGATCCAGAATACTTTCAATTAGCCTAACAAAGATGCCAGAAAACGACATCATTGTGAAACATCGCACCGGCCAATACAAAAGGGGTGCAACAAAAGGACATTGAAAGAAAACAGTTGGAGGGGTGCAAAACATATCAAGGCTATAGGCTCTGTTATACCAATAAAGCACTGACATGTCAACTTCATTTACAAGGATACCCTCCTATCACCAAGGAGGTGATTGGCGAACCCCTTCCCAGATCATTTAAGAACCCAGACAAAAAATTAAATCACCGTATGTGGTCCCACCAACCAACACGTTAGCTTCGACACAACCCTCCCCAAAATCTTAAGACACCATCTAACGGAGAGCTTTTTGAAGAGAAACATGGAGCTCTCTATGTTTCTACTAGTCTTCGCCAGTGGTATTTCAGAGCAAGTCTAAAACAATGAAAGAGAAAGCAAGATGCAGAACTTTCTGTTATCGTCAAAAAGAGAACTTATGGTCTTTATATACAAGCAAGAGCAGAGGCATGGTGGTAACCACACTACATAATAAAGTAATGGAAACACAATTGGCCAACTAACTGAATTTTTTTAACATAACCAGTCAGAGTTTCACTACACTGTAGCTACTGGAACTGAACCATCAAACAATTGTCTTACAGCCTTTCGGTGTCAACATTCGCTTAAGCCAGTTTGAAATGTGTGTACCTGGTGCTGAAATGGTGATGGTACATCATATTTATCCACACTTCCCCTCAAACAGGATGTAGCTTTGTATCATCAGCTATCCCTGAGTTCCATCGGGTCATTTGATTAACTCAAAGAACTCTTCCTTGATTTTATGCCTACTATACGATGCCTTTCTCTTCCCATAATGTTCTTTCAAACTTTGTTTTGTGGTAGTGCTACACATGGTCTAGGACACCAGGACCACCCCAGTCACATACCCACAAAAGTGGCCGAGCAAATGTTAAGAATGACCAAATCTCCACACTTAATATATGGCTACTGTACTGATAAGCCATATTCCTCAAAACCGTTCAAAGATTAAGGGAGCAAAGCTTGGACTCCAATGTAGCAAATATTCATGCAGGTCTTCAGCTGACTTAGATTCCACTCCTAACTATAATCTAACTACTGGAGGTCTTTGATGGGCATTCCTGATAGTTTGAGGGGAGACAAATAGTGAAAAGCTTAGGCTATAATCCATCTTCAGGCCTCCTTTCCTGGTCATGATGAGAGGCATGGACTTATAACTGTTTCTCTAAACATAGCTATGTCTCATACTTCACAATCCCTACTAGGCTGCAGCAAGATAAACCTGGATGGAAAAAGGATCCTCTTATTTATCATTTTTTCTTCTATACATACAAGTCATGGTGTAGTTGGTTGAAGTAGCATGTCCATCTATAAATGATACGGGGTTCTAACATCAAATTGCAGCATTGAGAATATTAACAATTAACAGAACAAGCTCTCTTAGACATAAAAGCCACTTGGTTACACATGCTGAACCAAAAACAAGCTCCTGAATCATAATTGTTCAAGTACTTGGATTCACAGTTTATTCTCGATAAAAACAGTGTTTTGTTGGTTAAATAGGTGCATATCATGTGCTATTTCCATCTTACTTTAGTATGGAATAAGTTCAATCATTGTGGAATGGAAGCTGATGTTGGAAGACAGATCCATGCTAAATAAAGATTTGTGCAGACCATTCAAAACATGTCGGGTTTGAAGCCTGACACATAAAGATGTAGAATGGTGTTTTGGTATTAAAAAGGGCATAACACTTGAGAATATATCTCTAATACCCTGCAAGGACCCAGCATGTTAAAAGTATTTCAATCACTTCATAAATTTAAGAAGTCATGATTAGGATTAAAATTAGAAACATGAAATGAATAGTATCCACATACGAGTGTCAAACGCATACCATCTCTTGCAATTCCTCCGCCATTTATCCCGAAGCAATATTACTTTTTCATCCGAACCCATAAAATGACACCTACCACAACATAGAACATGTTACTGTCAACAGAAGTTACCAGCAGCAACCACAACAATCAGGATGCTCATAGAATTCAATCCTACTCTGGTAAAGATCTTGGATTACTTGCATGTATCAATAAAATCACAGAACAATCATTTCCTGGAAAAGAAGAGGCAAAGAGAAAAATTACTTCTCAAACTAAGAGCGGACGACGGGTGGAAATTAACAGAGCAATTACACAGGTATGGTTCAGCTTGGATAGGCTACAGCTATTCTGCTAGCATCTCAAACATGGTTCTGCGTATCCGGGCCTACACACTTTTGCCAGTGAAGCTCATGGATAATAGTACTTGGTTTATTTTTCTTCTTCCCTTTCAGACTTTCGCCAACTTCATACAATCAGAAAAGTCTACAAGATATTACAAGTTAGCTGAGAAAATCACAGCTTATCTGTCGTATCCCTGCCTCAAATAGCCTAAATGAGCCATAGAGGGATGGATTTGCTTAGTCCTCTGAAATAATATTAGGTGAAAAAGCTCATGCTTTTCCCTTCTAAACACAGTCCCGAAGTTGAAACAAACTGAATAATATGCTTGTCAACAGATCACTTGTTTGACACCCCAGGTAAGGAAGGACGCGGAAAGAAACTACATAAGTTCATTGCATATGTCATTAAAAACAAGTTACCAATATTAATATGGCGGAATGGAGTGGCACGATGCAACTGTGCTGAATCAGAAACCCAGAGAGATTGGTCAATATCTTCCAATGTGGACCAAAATTGTTGAAGCTTCTCCAGATGCTGAACACATCAACCAGGAGATCACACCTTTTACTAAAAAAAATCCAATATACAAAAGTGCAATACAGTCGAACTGTTTGTCCTCTGTACCTGTCTAAATTGCTTCACAACATCCATAAGTCTTGAATTCGTTGACCATTCCAAATTGAATATGTAAGGTACATCCTGATGAAGGGGTTTAGTTATTAATCCTGGAACAGGAATTGTTTTAGAGACAAAAGAGGCAATAGATAACTAACAGCTGAAACTGATGGTGGGCAGTTTGGATAAGATTTATTCAACAAAACCTCTAACACATGAACTCTTTCCTTCTTGTCACTGGCAGTCAGAAAAAAAAAATCTTGAGTATAATTGAGGGTAGAAACAAGATGTAGACCTTGAATCATGTCAAGATGGACCTGAATTGCAATGCAAGGAAATATCAAAAAACAGAGAAGCTAAACAGTAGTGCAAAATTGAATCATTTGCCTAAACTTCATGCTGTCTATATGAAGGCTAGAGGATCATACATAACACGAAATGTAACAAATGATAGATCTTCGGCCAACTTCACCAAATGTTCCCATCCAATTTCTTCAATCTAGGATAAGAATGGATAGAATCCAATATAAGAGTTTTGCTTCTACATGATGGTAACATATACAACAATTTAACTGTAATAAATCCTCTTGATGAAAAACTTGATCTTACACAACAAAAAGGAAAGAAAAGGCAATATCAACTCACCTCAGAGTAAACCGTACGGGAGAAAGATGATGACAGGGCCAACTTTGGACATTCAGTGCTTTTCTGGTTGACCAAACAGTGAGCACATTAAGTGAAAACAGTGAGAAATTGAAGGAAATAGCCATTTTCAGAGACCAAAATCATCTCTCAGACATTTCTTACCAGAGATTTCCAAAATGTCACTACCTCCGCCTCCACAAGTGGCACCTTCATGACTTGCGGTGGTTGCGGAGGAGTTAAAAGACAAAAAAGATATCACTTTTTACTCAGGTCTGCAAATGGCACCTCCGCAAGCGAGTGAAAAGTAAATGTTTCTTTTTGTCTTTTTAGCTCCTCTGTATGTGCCACTTTGAAAATTCCAGAGAGAAATGGCTAAGAGATTATTTAATCACCCCGAAAACAGTGGAGACAACTGAAAGCAAGAAAAACCAGGTAGAAGTAGTTTTGTATTCTTACCTCGCTGATATTCATACCGGCATAAACAATGAGATGGAAACTTGAACAGATTCTGCAAAACAAACAAAATTTGATGTAAAATAATAGACATGAAGCGCGCAGATTAGGAATTTTGTTGATAAAATTGTAGGAATTACAGAGATAAGTGCATTGAATAGTAAGATTAGAAGGTAAGCGAACACTCAGCACACGATGACTAATTTGGAATCCATTGAGAAAGGCGAACTTCATATCAAACAGGTGGTGTGCATTCACCTCGATTCACCAGGAATTTGGAAGGGCTGGGTGACGTCGTCTACCGGCGGGAGTGGGAAGGGTTCGTTCCAGCCCAACAACTACCACTTCTTTCGCACGCCCAACTCCACCGAAAAACCGAGGGATGGCAAAAAGACCCGTATCAACCCAATTTGACAGGGGAATTTCCTGTTTGATGAATCTCTGAATTTTCTAAAGTTTTGATAAAATTCTTAAAAATTATCTTTTATACATAAAATATTGTATGTTACTTATCTATACTATATGATAATGTGTTTGATTAACTCTTAAAAGTTAAAACTCATTTTTATAAATAAAATGTTGTTTATTAATACATACTATAAGCGTACTCGCACAATACAGCAAGCGAGATACATCGTGATTTTAATATTTCATGTTATTTTTCATCTCAGTCGATGTTATAATATGGTTTTATGTGATTTTGAGAAAGCGATGACGTTTTTATTTTTGAACAAAATATATGTTTGAAGATATCATAAAAATTTGACAAAAATATATGTTTGAAGATATCATAAAAATTTGAAATTCCTCATTTTTTTGTATAATTTTTTAATTCAACTTTTTTATAATTTAATTTATGTACAATAACGAAGTAATTTATATTTGGTTATAATAATATAATTTTTTTATAAAGATAATAATTATTTATTTTGTTCGAACTCGATAATTATTCTAATTATATTTTAGATTTTTTATATTTTAAAATTAGATGTTCATCCCCTATTTGATTATGTTTATCCGCAGTTATTTATACGAATTCAAACATCGAGCTTTAATAAGTTGTACTTATGCATAATTACTTGTAATCTTGAATT